TCCATCCTCAACAGGTTGTTACAGCCAATTGAGGTTTAAGTGTAAGACTGAAATAATCAGTTCAGTGGTAAAGATAGAAGCAAGATTAATGACTTGATTTTTAATCTATTTTAAAATTCTATCAAGATAAAGCTATAATTTTTCTTTTTCTACTTTGTATTGCTTCTCTTGTAATTTGGCACTGATGTACAACTTAGATCCTTCTGCTACTTATTTGGGTAATTATAAAGAGTCAGACCAAAACAAATACAAGAATCTGGCAAAGACTGTAAGGTCTGAAAGAGATGAAAGAATTAAGCTGTTTGACATCTTGTAGATCAAGTGATTAACTGCATGTCCCTCCTTTTCTGCTTATGGTAATATCTAGTCACATGCTGCACTGTGCGGTGCACAGGCATTTTTTTTTCTATTTTCCGGAGTCCACTCTTGCCAACTTTCCTTAGCTTATCTCACCTGTTGAAAAGTGAAATAAAGATTATTTTATATTTTATTATCTGTGTCAATGTTTTTTAGATACCATGAAGAGCTTAAATGTTGCCTTGATTATTTAGTATTTTAAGTAATGTATTCTGAAGATTGTATTAGATATTCCATTTATTTTATTCTGGGAAAAACAAGACCAATTAGACCCTTGATAAATTTGAGCCATACAAAACTGCCAGTATTCAATGATTTTTAGCCTATAGATGGGCATTTTAATCTAATTCCCATTTGTAGATTATACTGTTTATTTTCTAAAGTGATATTTTACATTAATTCATTTTTATTTATTATATGATACGGAGGATGTAGGCTGTTCTCTTCTCTCAATGATAATGTCACATAAATTATTGAGTGCCCCAAACTAGCTTGCTTTTCAAATTGAGGGATAATAAGCAATTAATTATAAAAGTTTTCAAAAAACATAAAGATAAGTTAGTACCTTTTAAATATGGGTAACTATAGGGAATCTGTTAAAACTTGAAGTTTCTTCATATATACTATTAGAAGAAAATAATATACAGAATCAACACTAGCAAATACAATAAATATCTCTGATTTGTTCTTGCACTAGTTTTTTAACTTGACTTTTGAATATTTTTGAAATGCTAAAGGTTCACAATGCCTCATAATAAATTATGAAGATATAATGATTATATGATTTAAGAGTATGAAAACTTTCTTGCTACTCACCCCTAAATATTCATCTACCATGGTAACATACCTAACCCCATAGTATTCCAAAGCTGTAAAGACTACTAAAAAAAAGGTGCTTAAAGTAATGGAGACTTCTTGGTCAAGATACTGTATCGGATTCCATGTTGTTTTTCTACATTTGTTGAACAGTGTTAAAAGCTTCCATTCAGATCTTCTCAAGCCTTCTTTAAATACATGGGAAACTATCAGAATTTAATGTTTTCAAAATGTATTTCATAAGTTTAGCTTTTATTTATTTGCAAATAAACAAAAATAGGTCATTGTATGTTAATATTTAAACTGAGAATCTACTTTAATAGAAGATAGTAGTTAAAGAAATGAGATGAATTAACATTTTTTGAAAAAGTGCAAAATTTTTACCTCATATTTATCATGTTTATAATTCACTTCTACTTGTCTAATTGCCTATTACGTGTCCTCCTTTAGATTGTAAATAACATAAAAATTGCAGCCATGTTTGCTTTATTTTTGTATGTATGTACCTGTGTATTTTTAATGTGCCATTTAAGATGCATATGTGTACTCACAGTGTATAGGTATATACATATAATGTATGTATGCAAAATATACATGTATATGCAATATGTCTGTGTATAATTGGATACTATACGCTGTACACTAATGTAACAACTATTTGTTGAATTAATGAATGGATGGAATTTAAAATCTAGTCTATGAGCATTTATTTGATTCTTCTTATCTCTTCAAAAATAAATTCTCATCAACACCATAATAAATTTTTTTAGAATAAATTCTCTCCCCTTGTCAGGTTTTTACATGCCTTCTGAGTTATTATCTTAAATATCTCATAGACTTTCTTTAATAGATATATAATGGAGAGTACACCTGAAACTTTCTTTCACTACTCTTTTCTTTGTATCTATTCTTTGACTTTAAGCATGTGTAATTGTAAAGCAATGTACAGATGTTGAGAGTCTACAGTAGGAGAAACAATGTGCTTGGCACTAGCAATACAGAAAACTCTTAAACTGGAGAGACAAAATTTTGAATAAGTAATCAAATATACAGAGTTAAGTGCCAAAAGGATTATACGTAATGTATTGGGCAAGTTTGAAGAGGAAGCCTATGCTTCAGGAATAATTACAATGTGACAGTAGGAACAAAATGTCACAGTAACTTCAGTTTGAAACTTGAATGAAGACTACCAGGTCTCACCAAATGTGAAGAGGAATATTCATTTAGACCTCAGAAACTAAATGTAAGCAAGTGGTGTCCCTGCCACTCCCTTCACCTACTTCCGCAAATGCGACTGTATAGCCACCAAAGTGCACTGGTCCCCGACAGTTCTAAATTGCAAAGTTCATCATTCTTCCTCTTGGTTAAATTTTACTCAACTCCCACTATAAAGTCCAAATGTTTTTAATCTGATACAAAAGCCCCTTCATAATCAGACTGATCATTTCCATTGCATTAAACAATTTTCCACATGTTTGTAAGTATATTTGAGAGCTCAAGACTATATCTCTTTCCTTCAACACTTTTTGACTTGTTTTTAAAGACTAAACTCAATTATCACACATTCTGAGAAGCATTTATAAGATTTGTGGATACTCTCATAGCAACCTGTTTGTAATTCTTATTTTTACATTTATCAGATTATACCATCAAGGTGTGGCCTATTGATTTGCCTCTTGACACCACAGTCTACCTGTTGGTAATTATTTCTCTTATCTTTGCTTCACTTGTTGAGGGCAACAGATATACATACGTAATAGTGAAAAAATTACATAATTTTGAATAATTTAAATGGTTCTCTTACTAAAAAAGTTAATGTTTCCTATGTTAACTAGTTAAAATCATAGAATCAAATTATTGATAGGACTTTAGGAATATCTACTGCAGTGATTTTAAAAATAGTTTTGAACAGTACCTAGTAAGAACAGTAAGAAATGTTCTACATCACAGCATGGTATATGCAAAATCTCGTGTAAATGAAATGTTTCCATGGTATAATACTATTTGAGATGCTATAAAAATAACATGATTAACATTGAATATTATTTCATTACTACTCAAATACAACAAAGACAATTAATAATGGCAAAATAAATAATTAAACCAAAAATTGTTTCACAGTCCAAAAATGAAAATAAAACCTCCCTCACCACTTATTTTACTATAACCTCTCTCCATATTGTATAGGTAAAAGGAACTTGAGAGATAAGTGACTTTTCCAGACAAATTACTACAAAACTAGATCTAGAATACAATGATTATTTTTCTTTCACTACAGTGACAAAGGCAGAACTTTTGCTCTGAAGCTATAACATATCTGATTCATTCCCTCTTCAAGACTAGATCCCTTGGGTCAAATACTTTTACTAATGAATTTGATGAGCACACTACTAACCTTCTCTTGTCTTTATGCACAATGTATATTTTTGTCTGGAATCCAATTATAAAGGATACTTTAAAATCCTCAAAACTGTACACCCTGAATAAAAACTGATGATGCTTCAATATAGAAATTTCATGCTGTAGTGATACTTTTTGAGTGGAGAAATGAGTAAATATAGATATCCCATAAATTGGGAAGAAGAAAATAGGGCTAGTAGAAAAGCCACACTACAAAATTCTGTGATAAATGATTACAAAAGAATTGCAAGCTCCTTGCTGAATTTTTAATACTGATCTTACTAGTTTATCATATTTATATGAATGTTTGTTAAATATAAGTATAAAGTAAGTTTTTCCCCTATGGTACATTTCATCTTATTATGTCCTTATCTTGTACTCTTGGACAGAATAAGATAAGGTACACTTTCTGGTATTTAATAGAAGTATGGATAGTATGCCATGTCTTGCTGTCATGAAATGGTCTGTGGGGAGAAGCTTTTGTGTGAAATGCACAGTTTTCCTCAGGATCTTGCTGTTTCTGGAAGGTAAATTAGGGAGGGTAAGAATACTCATCATTTAGAGCGAGAAAGCTTACAGTCTTAAAGTAATTAACTTAAGGCAGACTTTGATGACTGAATAATAATAATGATCATAAGTCTGAGACACCAGTCACTAGAGAATATTTGAAAAGTTTGCATCTGTAGAGAGATTAAGAACTGCCATGAGAAGCCAGTGTAGACTACAGTTTGAATGAAATCAATTGTTATTCATTTCTAATTCTATAAAACAATAACCTGAATATTATGTAACTATAAACAGATGTACAAATTTATTTACCTTAACTTCATCAAAGAGTAAATTGTTTTGGACTTCAATTTTGAAAATGCCACATGGAATCTAAATTTTGTTAATTCAATAATTATTTACATATGAGGATTGCAATTTTATTTTTTATTTATGTGATACATATAATAATCCCATTGCTAACATTAACTGCTAACAGTGGGATTATTTAGAGTTGAACAAATAACAATTCTAATAGATTCTCCTCTTCAATTTATATTTTGTTGTCCCAATACATTGAAATAAGTAACATAATTCACACCATGTTATTGAATATGCAAAAAAATTAAATGTACTATGTTAAACATTTTATTCTTTAGAACACAGACTTTTCTAAATGTTTAAATGTAATATAGTTAATAGTTACTACATATCATTTCTATTTCTGTTATTTAGAAAGAAAAGACCACATTGGCTTCTTTTCTTTCAAAAACCCTTACATTCAAAAGTAACAAAATAAAGCACAACACACCACAACATAGTAACACACATGAATAACTCTTTAAAGTAATCTTTACCAGGCAGCATCTGCACAGCCTGTCTCGGGCGCTGTAAACCTCAGTTCCCACAGGAAGCTCTACTGTGAAAAGCTGAGTACTTACGCATACATCATGGACCCAGGACTAGGGCAGCTTCTGTTCAGTCACCACCTGATCTGTATCATCCAGGTCAGGGCTAGGAGGCTGGAAAATAAAGACAGTCACTGGCAATAAGAAAAGGGACAAGTCTGACAGGTTTAATGACTGCAGTCATGATACAGCCTGATAAGAACATGATCAATTTGGTGCCAGCATTTCCAAACAGCTAAGTAGTTGCCAATTCCTGCATAAAGAAGCTCCAAGCAACAGAGAGCTGGAAGTGTGCAACTGGTAATGACTCAGAATACTACACTCTTCCTGCTGGGGAGGAATGCTCAGCATTAAGGTGAGGCCCCAATTTGTTTAGGAACACACACACACACACACCAAGAAAAAAAAAAGAAACAAAACCACTAGCGTACACTGATGACAGTCCTTCCTCAACAGAGCTGTCCTGATGTCACTGCTTGCTTCCTCCTTGGACCTGCTCCTTTCTTTCCTTGAGGTATTCATGAAGTGTCAAGAAGCAGACAAGCCCTGGGTTCTGAACCCAGACCTATCTACCAGCTTGGCAGAGTGACTATAGGTGAACTGTACAGCTTTTTGGAGCTTTCCTTCTAATAAAAGGGGAAATTGTGTTATTTTTTTCTAATATTGTTCTTTTTAGTGCTAAAAATAGATTTTACTGAAAAAAATTATTTACTTCCCAAAAGGCAAACAAACAAAACAAGAAAGTAAAACAAAAACTTCTTTCTCCTTTCTCATCATCAGGAATAGCTTAGTCCATTTTAGTGGTGTGAATTCCTCAGCATTTATAGTCTTTTTACATACTTGCATATATCATTAGACATTTAGGTCTTAAAACATGAATGTCAAATAAAGATCAGTAAAATTATAGATTATTTACTACAATTTTAAGAGTTACTTTTAAAGTCTCAGTGCTAGGAAATATTAATGGAATAAGGAGTTATAAATATACTTTTTTGTTGTTCATACAGAATACTTTTACCTAAAGTACTATAAAAATGAGTTCAACCTTAATACTGTCATATTATCATATTCTGCAAAAGCATTGTTAAGAAATAATTCCCAAGTCACTTGATTAATGGAAAAATGAGGCGAGGAAGATTTTTGTTTGTAAAATCAGTAATCATTATTTGTAAATGATGTATAACAATAAAATTTTGAGTAGAAATAAAAATTTCCAAGTAAATAACTTACAAAGCTTATCAAACACTTTATGATGAAAATTATACTTAATTTAGAGAAAGTAACTTTGGAGCATTGATTTTTTTTCAAAGGTAAAAACATAAAATCAAGTACAAAGGTGATAGAAAATTATTCTACTATTCTTTAAAAATAGTTTAAATGCTTAGGTTTAATATCTCATTAATACTCTCCTAATCCTTTTTTGTTAAAATTCATGAAAATACTCTCAGTCTTTTATACTGTATTAGTAAATAATAACAGCAGAAAAGAAACTATGGTTTAGGTGGAGGAAGTTACTCTATCCAAGAAGTGTGTTCAAATAAATACAAGAATTACCTTTGAGGATTCTAGAATGAGATATGAACAAAATTAACATTTTCATAGGACTTGGAGGAGAAAAAGTCACTAGGTACAGAAATATGAGTTTTAATCATGTTTAAATAAGATGACAGGACAGGAGAACATCAAGAAGAAAGTTAAGATAATTCCAAATTGATCATATTTGTTAGTGTCCAAATTAAAGAAAGAAACAGAAAAATATAACTTCTGGAATAGACACCCTTAAATCATTGCATGCACATCAGTCTAATTATAGATTTTAAATTAAATAAAATTTTGCCTTGCATTTATTAAGCAATCAATATATTATTTTTCTCTAGTAAAGAAAGAATATAAGGGGATTTAATATAGGAGCATTCCTCCCCTTGCAGGAGCACATAGATCCAAAATATGAGCATCCAAAAGATGCTAATGCAGAAAAAAGAGAACTATGAGTCTTCAGGACTAGAATGGATTTATCAAAGGCCCAAGAAAAGAGACCACACTGAGAGGCTTTATCTAAGATATTATAAGAATTGATTGACATCATAGTTAGATTAAATAGATAATAATAATTGAGAGCACTCAATTTTGTCCAGTCATCCTCATGAAAATGAGAAAATGTTTATATGCTCATTTAATTCTGAACCTGAGAAAATGAAAACATAGTACATGTACTTTTTTTTTTAACTCCAAAGGAGGTCTTGGAGTTTGTATTTATTAGTCAGCTTTCCTGTTGCTGGACAAAAATACCTGATGCCTACAATTTAAAGGAAGAGAGGTTTAGTTTGGCTAATGTTTTCTCATGACTCAGTCCATGGTTGGCTGGTTCCAAGGCAGGGACATCATGGAGGGAGGCTATGGTAGAGCATAGCTACCCAGTTCCTGGAAGCCGGGAAACGGAGTTAGAGAAAACTGAGGGGCAGGAAGGGGCTAGGAAGTAGCTATAGACCCCAAGGCCAAGGCTTCATGACTCACCCAGACACACCCAGAGGTGTGCTTTATAAGCCGCTAGGTAGCTCCCAAGCCAACAAGTTGACAACCGAGATCAATTGTTGCAGTGTTGCTCACATTTACAGTCATCAATAATTTTTTTTCAGATTCTAATTGTTTTTTAGAAAACTTTTCTTTTTAAGCAATATTGCTTATGAGAAAGAAATCATATTAAAATTATCAATAAAGAAAGCTTGCTTCAGTATACTATCTTCAAAGTTATAGACATTCTATTATTGCTCAAATACAAACTACTAAAATGGTTCCTTTGCTGATAAATATCTGTAGTAACAGTTTATTGATCTACTGCTTTTAGGCAATTTTGGGAATTTACACAGCATTTTCTGCAAAGTCTCTTCATGCTGTTTCCACTTTCCAAGTGATCATATAATCAAGCAAACTGCAAAGATGAGTAAAGCATCAATGTTTTTATATCATAAAAATGCCAAGACTGAAAATCTCTTAAAACTCTAGTTTTCAAGATTTATAATTAAGCTTTCTTTATATTTAAAAATTTTGTTATGTAAGTTATTTTATAGCAATTACAAAATATATTTTTGTATTCTTATATGTAGAATTCACTTTTATATACTTTGTAGTCCAGCTGTTTCCTAGCTAAATGTGTTGCCTACCTAGATGCTTACATATCTGCTGTGTTTCTTACATGACAGAAACATAGAAAACAGTAATTAGACTGAAAGGAATAGACTATTACCTATAGCACAAAAATATGTTTCCAATAACGAAGCAGCTACTTATTTTCATTCTTTGAGTGATGTGATACAGAAATATTTCATGTATAAATTACTTAATTCTTTGGAAAAAATAAAAATTCTGTTATAATAGAACATTTCATCAAGTTAGATTTCTGGAGTTTTCTTTGCTACATTCTCAATATCTTTATAGATTATCTTCCCTTTTAATGCTTTCAACCTTGATTCTCTAAAAAGAGTAGAAGGTAAAAACCTTAATAACATTGGTGTAATGTTTCCTGGTTGAAGGAGTTTAAGAAACCATGTTTCAGTGGTTGTGTGCTCTTATAATCTCCTGATAATTAATATTTGTCATCTTTAAAAAGAAAAAAATCTTTACCCTGGTATCCAATTTTGTAGGCGAGTTGATTGCTATAGGGTAGAGTAGACAAAATAAAGGGAAAACTAAAATTACCAACTTCTAATGCCATGAATCCTTCCACTAAAAGAACCTGTCCTTAAAATTTTCATCTAAATGTAAGAAGAACATCAAAATCGAATGACAAAATTATAGTTAGTCATCAGTCCTGTACCAAAAATTGACAAGGAGAGGGCTCATTATGCCTCCACCGAGAAAGTGCATGCTTTTCCATCCATTCCCTGGATAATTAGAATGGCCTGTAAACAAGAGTTGACCAAATTCAGGAAGAGCAACACACAAACCCCATATTGAAAAGCTGTTCTATTTAGTATGTACATTTATATTATTATGTACAAACATGATGAGATGAGATTACATTCTTTGGATTGATTTCCCTACATTAAAGTGATGAACTGGGAATGCCACATCAAGGTGGCTTTTTGGTTATCTCCTAAGGCAATGAAATCAACTAGATATTCTCCCTCAAGAACTGATGTATTTCTTGGTCTATAGGAGTCATTGTAGCCTTTATTCTTATTATATAATATTTATTTGGTTTGGGGGCATAATATATTTTCAAGTAATTTGCTACTTGTAACACCACTTATAGTCAAAGATACAGGTAACATGCTAAATCACAAGTCCTGTGCCCCTTTCTTTCTGGCCACCATGAAATGAGCAGCTTTGCTCTGCTACTATTTCCACCATGACGTTTCTATCTTGGAGTTGGCTGACCATGGACTGAATCCCCTGAAACCTTGAGCTAAAGTAAACCTCTCCTCCTTTAAATTGTGGCTGTTGGATAGTGTGTCCCGGGAATGAGAAAGCTGACTAATAGGAAAAAAATGGAACCTGAAAGTGAGGTGCTATAATGGCACCTGCCTATGTAGTTTAGAAGCCTTTGGAATTGGTTTGAGAAAAGAGTTCAGAAATCTTTGAAGATGCAGGCTAGAAAAGTCCTAGCATGATATAAACAGAGCCTGTTGGATGATTCTCTTGGAGCTCAGAAGACCAGAATGCTAATAGGAAACCAAACAGTAAAGACAAGGCATAGGCAGTTTCAATTCAGAACAAGATTCCATTGGAGTTTAAACTAGAGCCATGTGTCTTACATTCCTGCAGAAAATCTGTCTACATTTTGCCCATGTCCTGAGACTTGCAAGAGGCAGAGGCTTAGCCCAGAGAAATAATTACTCTGGTAAGAGAAATGTCATGATAGCCCAACATTCTGGCTGTGGCAAAGGTATTGCTGAATGCTTTTAGCCTAATTTATAGTAAGACTTGAGGCCAAAAAATAGAGGAGAAAATTCTAAAACTTTAAATTTTGAACCAGAAGAAACCATGTATAAAGTTGGTAGCAGAGGGAGTGCGGCTGTTGAAGAAATTAGTACCATGAAAAAGAAACCAAGTGTGGTGAAACCTTGGTTTCCAAGCATAATTTGCTCTGGAAACATGTTTGTAATTCATAGCAC